ACCTCCTCCTCCTCGCCCACCCTCCTCCTCCTGCCTCCTCCTCCTCCTCCTCCTCCTCCTCCTCCTCCTCCTCCGCCTCCGCCTCCGCCTCCGCCTCCGCCTCCTCCTCCTTTTTTCAGCTCGCCAGTAATTGCCGTGTTGATCCTTTTTTCGTCATCCTCCTCCTCATCCGTCTCCTCCTCCTCCTCATCCGCTTCCTCCTCCTTCCTCCTCCTTCTCCTCCTCCTGTCGTTTACTTCATGTGTACATGTTCGCGCGCACTGCAGATCGTGCATATTGTGTTTCAGCTCGGTTTGTAGCATAGTCGATGTCCAGCTCTGACCTTCGGCGGCCCATTGCAGGTCCTGTCCTGTCCGATCCTGTCCTGTCCTGCCCTGCCCTGCCCTGCCCTGTCCTGTCCTGTCCTCCTTCTCCTCCTCCTTCTCCTCCTCCTTCTCCTCCTCCTTCTCCTCCTCCCTCCTCCCTCGCACTCCTCCCTCGGGCCCTCCTCCTCGAGATTCCGGTGTTGGGGCGAGCTTGTGTCCATTCGCCTGTCTTGGGCCCCAGGGTCTGCAGAGGCCCAGGCGCACCTGGCGGCTCGGGGGAAGATCCGGGCGGAGGAGCAGTAGCAGAGGACCCAGACCTCCGCTTCCTCCTCGTCCTCTTTTGTCCAGCGTCTCTCTCTCCCTCTCTCTCTCTTTCCTCCTCCTCCTCCGCTTCCTCCTCCTCCTCCTCCTCCACTACGTGTTACAATTCGGTGCCCGCAAAGGGAAGTGGATCAACAAAAGCTGTGGCTTAACGATCCTCATCAGCCAGAGAATCGACGAGCGCAGCCTACGAGAGATCTACACCCCACCAACCAGCCTCCAGGGACGGGTTGCAGGGATCCGCCTCTCGACTAGCCAATACGACTACGTACTCTTTGTCTACTACTACGCCCCCACCCATCTCTCGTACTACGTGCCACTAGCAGACGCTATAACTAAATGGTTGGAGCAGTGTGTCGACCGAGTAGGCAGCCGTACGACGATCGTGATAGGGGGGAGATGTGAACAGCGACTTTGGTTGCCAGCGGGATACAGACGGGACCATCGTGCGAAGTAGAGGACCGACGGTAGGAGACAGGGAACCCAGAATTGAGAACTCCAACGGCACGAGCCTCAGGACCCTGTGTCAGACCAGCGACCTCAGTATTGCTACCACTTACCACATCGCTGAACCCACATTCTACGGGCATTCAGGTTACAACAGCCGTATCGACCACATCGTAGTACCCACAGGGGCCCTGGGACTCATAAAAAGGTGTGAGGTCCTCCATCGGTCAGGCAAAAGGCTCCAAAAGGTAAAAGTACGAGGACACAGGGACCACCTCCCCATCGGCCTCACCCTCCTCGCCTCCACTACCACCACCTCCTTCCTCACGCGCGCCCGCCTACAACAGGGGCTGTGCAGGGACGGCCTCATGGAATGTCTACGCAGCGGCCACAAGAGGGAGATGCTGCTCACCGAACTCGACAAGGAGGTGGAGGAGGTGGGTGGGGAGCAGTGGGAGAGAGCACTGGGAGCGGCGACGCCAGACGAGACCTGGGACCTTTTGGGAGGAGCGGCACGATCGGCCATGCTCAGGACCTTCGGAAAAAAACGGCTCACCCGACGAGATCGACCAGCTTACGAAGCGAGCCAAACAATACCGACCCGAACTCCTTAGGCAGCGAAGAGCACTGCGACAGAGCCTCACTCCAGAACAGCGTGCCGACGACTACGACAGGGTACAAAACGAGCTGACAGAGGTCACAGCGGCGCTGAAGCAGGCTCGAGAAGGTGTAGAGAAACAAAGAAGGGCGCTCCTGGTCGAACGCATATGGGAGGCCTACGAAAAACGGAACCTCGCCGAGATGCACCGACTACGTATACAGTACCAGAGGAACGGACGCGGGCCAAAGAAAAGGTACTACCGATCAGCCCGAACCCACTGGCCACGCGACTACTGGTATCAGGAGCTGGCCCACCCAGCCTTGGAAGGGGGACTAGGAGCGCGGCCCATCGATAGAAACGCAGAGAGAGCAGAACACGAGGCTTTCGTCCAGGAACACATCGACCGACTGCCGATCGACCACGATTTACTTTTTCAGGTCGAGGCCGACAAGCGAGCGATGCGTAGGTACTGCCAGCGAGCCAGCAAACGACGGGCCTGGCCGCCTTGGGGCATCCCGACCGAAATGACATGGTTGATGATCGATCCCACCCTCCATCTTCAGGACCCAGCAGAGCTCAGCAGGCGCCTAGAAGAAAAGCGAGTAGCAGCTGCAGGGAAGAGGGGGGATGAAGACGAGCTTGCACACTACACGACATTGGGACGATGCAAGAAGGGGAGGGAACTGCTCCGACGGATGGGGTGGACTGACGGTACTAGGTTGGGTCGTGTGCCGACGGCGACGGATGGGACAGAAGGAGCCGCCTGGGAGCAGCAATCCTATGCAGTGGGGAGGGGCAGGTTTGCAGGGGTAGGTGCTGACAAGATTGCAGATCACAGTAAAGGATACATGAAGTACCTTGACCAATTCCTTGCACAATGCCGAAGCTGCCAGGTCACTCCTTTGGACGGGCACCGATCGCAAGCATTCCCAGCAGAAAAACACAACAACAAAGAGGGGATACTAGGGAAGCGTATACTACACGTCTACGATTCTTTTGGAATGGCTTGGCACTCAGGCATCCACCTACGTGGCTCACCCCCATCACAGGCACCCTGGGCCCAAGGAGGCCTCCCACACCGCTGTCGTGAAAACGCCATCCTCTGCGTACAAGCGGCCCAGTGGAGAGCTGCCCAAGGGGGGTGAGCACAATCACAACCAACTACGACGGCACCAACGCGTTCGCAGCCACCAACCGAGCCCTACTCAGAGCGGTTGCCTTCAGGCAAGCCCACGAGCACGATCAGCGCTTCGCCATGGCAGCAATTGACCACTCCACCCTGACGCTCGAAGCTGCCGACGGCACCGTCGAAGCTGAGAGCGCCACAGGCGCTCAAATGGGCTTCACCCTCTGCCCGAGGCATTTCAACGATGCATACAACCTGTACGTCGCAAAATGGTGGGAACAAGGCCGCACGGACCCAGACCAAATTATCCACGACACGACTAACCCAGTCGCAGGCAGCACTCACGACTTATCCCTCAACACGCTCATGGACGACACCACCTATGTGCAGACGATCCGACCCGCATCGACGGCTGGCGATATTGAACAACAACTCAACAACAACACCGAACGCCTTTCCCAAACAATTGCAGCAGGAGGATGGGGACTCAACAACGCCAAGACCAACCACCTACTATACCTAGTAGGGCAAGGCTGTTACGGGAAAACCAGACAACTCAGACGCAGCAAAACATTGCAGGGTCAGGCGCTGAGGGAGATGCGTGTACTTGGCCCTTACCTACCAGCTGGTCAGGGCATCACAGGCGAGGTGGTGCGGCGTATCGCAGCCATCCGCGTCGCATGGCGACAATGCGGGATCTTCTGGACCTCTAAGGTACCCCGACAGATAAAACGCATGATGTGCATGGCTTTCGTCGTAGGCGCGGCCCTCAGCGGATTGCCAGCGCTAGTTCTGACAGATACCCACGCAACAGCAATCGACAGTGTACTAGGCAAGTACCTACGGACGCTAGCGGGAGGAGCCATGTCGTGGACCAGAGCGGATGGTACAGTGAGGTGCAACAACTTGCGACAGGTGTTTAGATACTGGAGACTCGAGCGCACATCCGTATCCTTACTTGTGCGACGCTTACGATGGTACCAGAACTGGTCAAGGCACCCTTGGGCGCACGGAGCAGTCATCGCAGCGGTATTTGGGACATCCAGACTAGATGCGGCCCAGGGTATCCAGCGACTCGAAGGGCAGGGATTTGTGGGGCCTTCCCCCACCCCGTGGGCACAGCAGTTTGCAGCCGACATGCAGGTGATAGCAAGGGTTGACGAGAGCATGGGATGGTATGCAGACAGGGAATCTGACCTTGCCATACGAACAGGGGAGTGCGGAACAAAAAAACTGGTTGCAAACCGACCCATCAATATTGTACAGTTACGAGCGAAATTGGGACGTGCTTACGACACGAGATACGACGCTACAGGAGGAGGAGGGCAGGGAGGAGGAGACATTAAAACCCTACTGGTGCGATCATACGACGACGGGCGAACACGACACGGAACAGAGGTGTGGCATGCGCTTCGCGACATACGCAGCACTAGCTGGGCATCGCCGAGAGTCTCACAACATCCGACCAGCGGCGGCGTCCGTAATCGTCAACAACCAGTGCCCCTGGTGCAAGAGCACATTTATTAATCGTAAGGTATGTGTCGACCATGCGACCAGGGCTGTACACGGCCACGGTATTTGCCACCAAGACAGGTCGATGTGGTCCCACCCCATCCCCGACCCCAGCTCCCTCACCTGCCAGATCTGTAACCACGATGCTCAAACTCTCGAGGAGTAGCACGCACACATCCGAGAGCACATAGCAGGGCCAGAGTCGATCATAGCGGCACGGGGAGAGGGAGCACATGTCGCACGGGGGCCACGGCGACTGGCGCATCAGGGCCAGCACGAAAAGAGGAGGGGGCGCAGCAGAAGGGCAGCGGCCCTCACAGCGTCCACACCTCGGCGGGGGCGGAGTCGGTTCGTCAGACACGCAGCAGTCGCAGCAGACGCCCCAGCAGCCGCCCCCCCACACAGCGCCGAGGAGGAGGCGGTCGAGGACCCCCAGGAGGAGGCCGTGGTGGTGGCGGAGGCGGCCAGGTGGAGCTGCGGGACCAGCTGAGATCGCTCCAGAGGCTCACCCTCCAGAACTCGAACGAGATCCGCAATTTTTTGCATCTCACGGGAGAGTTCTGGCTGACGCCGCTCGAGCCAGACTGGGTGCAGGCGCCGATGGAGACAGGCAAAGAGTACGGACGGAAGGTGAAGCAGTTGGGCAAGGGGCACGGCCTCGGCCCACCGCACGGTCAGGTAGCGGCGAGCCTGGTCGAGGAGATCGTGGCGGTGCTCGACTCAGAGGAGCAGAAGCTCGACGCGTCCCTCCTCCACGCGAGGCAGCTCCTGAAAGAGTTCATGAGCCAGCTCGACGAACCCTGGGGACCAATCTTCATCACGGAGGTCTTCTTGCAGTGCAAGATCCAGGAGGCGTACAACAAGACGGGCGAAGACGTGGAGATGGACACCAAGCAGTGCAAGGCCAAGCTCATCTACACGATCAACACGGCGCCGAGCTTCCGGGCGGCGCTGTACGACCAGAAGCTCGAGCAGGAGCAGTACGACAAGATCTCGGGCTTCAAGGGGGACATGTTCAAGCAGGCACTGGGCCACGCGCTGGCGCACCTCGGGGCCACAAAGAGCCGCTCAGGGGGCCCGAAGACGGGCCTGGAGAGGGCCGTGGAGGCGCAGCTCAACAGGAGGTGAGCCGAGGCACGCCTCAGCCTAAGCCCAGCAGCTCGCCCCGCCGCGAGCGAGAGAGCCCCGCGGGCCAGTCCCCACCAGGCCCGCAGCCCAGCGGCGCCTCCAGCTCGTGGTCGAGCAGCGCTCCCGAGTCACGCCTCAACTCCACGGGGCGCCCTCGTGCCTGGCCACCATCATCGCCGCCAGTCACTCGAGAGGAAAAAATCGCACAGCAGATCAGTACAGACCTTGTCCGTATGACGAGTCTCAGGAGCCAGGCCGAACAACACGGAGGCCAGATGGCCTACTTGTATCGGATGGCTACATACTATCGGGACCTACGGCCAAGGGACTACTACCAACCTATGGCGAAAAAATGAGGGTGACGGCGGACCTTCTACTTATTCAGCCGTTACCCTTCTATTACACGGGCTCCCACCACCTACGCCCCCCCCTCCCACCAACTCCCACCTCCAATTTACTATTCCTCAGGCTATCAGCTCTCGACTAGTTCCAATCGCAGTCGAACTCTTTTCCGCACGAGGCTCGTCTGTCAGATAGTATTGCGGACGCCCGCTCGGAGCCGACGTATTCGCGACTTCGTACCGGACCTCGTACAACAGAACGACAGTACATGCTACAGAGTACACACTGCGCATTACAAAGAGGGAACGTCACACACAGGGAACTATCACACCACAACATTCAGCACGGCCATGCGATTGTGATCCGACCACGGTTCGACCTCCCTTCCTCCGCCCAGCCACATCCAGCCTTAGTCCGCCTTAGTCATCATAGCTGCTACCTCCCTCGACCCTCTGCGGATAGTGAGAGTGAGGAAGAATTGCACACTAAGGACAGGCCCAGGATTCCGACTCCAGCGAACGACCGAGCCTACGCCTACTCCTACACCAAGGCCCCCACTACGGTTCCTTACTGCCCCCACACCTGGGAACTAAGGAAACTACTACATTACCTAAGGTGAACAACAGTACTAAGGTAAAACGAGGCCCAGTACACAGTCCGACATACTACCAGCGGACATTTACGACTCGAGCATTCTCGCGACATCCAGGGCTCGCTTTCCCCGCGGAAGCACGACCAGGGCAGCGATGGCGGCGCAGGCGAACATGGCGGAGCAGAAGGTGGCGACGGAGCAGCAGCCAGCGGCAGCCGAGGCCGAGCCCAACCCGCAGCCCACGATAGTGCAGAAGCCGCACGACAGGGGGGGCTTGGGAATTGCTGACCAGGTCACGGGCACGGCGGCGCACAGGCTGGAGATCGCGCACAACACACTCCAGAGCACGCCCGACGCGTTCAAGGAGGCGACCAAGCACAGCGAGATGGCACTCCACATCCTGCACAAGCAGAGGGAGAAGGTGGTGACCACGCTTGGGCGCATGAACGGCAGGAGCCTCAATCCACATGAAGAGGCAGAACGCAGCCAAGCAAAGCACTACCTCAAGGAGCAGCTGCGCGACATCCACAACGCCATCAGCGCGGTGAGGAGCGCAATCAGCATCACGGACGACAAGCTCGGCAAGATGGTGCACGGGCCGATGCCGTGGGAGCTCGACTACACGAGGCGCCAGGTCGACGAGATCGACCACATCTACACTCGCTGGACCAAAGACCCGCACGGCTACGCCTACGACGAGGCCCCCTTCGACACCCAGAGCGCGACGGCGAAGGCGGAGACGGAGAAGCAGGATCTCCTCCAGCCCGCGCGCAGGCCGCCATGCCCAAGCCCGAGCAAGAGCGTACTGGGCTGGGAGAACCGCGGTGCGGTGTTGTGCGGTGAGGCCAGCGCCCCAGCTGCCGCTACTAAGGCCGACACTGGCGCTGCGCAGAGCAGGGATGCGAGGCTCTCGTCGCCAAGGGCAGCAGCAGCGGCAGGCTGGGGCATTGGGCAGTAGAGAGCTGAGAGCAGTCCCATCGCATCAGGCCTTGTTCTTTTTTGTTTCTCTCACTCCCTCAGCGGGAGCATCCAAGGCTCGGCAGCACAGCACTCAGCGCGTGGGCCAATGCGGCCATGCAAATCCATATCAGCCGAGACAGATGCAGGGTAGGGAGATCACAAGGCCGCCCTTCTTTTGTTTGCCTCTCTTTCTTGCCGCCTGAAGGGGGTGGTGAGGGGAGGTGGGGGAGTGAGGGAGCGAGGGTGGGTGCTCTCAGCGGCGGGGGGTGCGCCCAAAGAGTGGCAGCCCCCCTCCGCCTGCAGCAGTGCAAAAGCCTAGCCGAGGCAGGGTCCCCCTGCTAGCGAGGCTCGGGGGCCACGCCTCAAGAAGGCGGGCCCCGTCGCCTCAGGCGGCCCCCCCAAAGCAAACGGGTGGGCTCGCATCCATGTTTTCCCAGGGGTCGGCATGCCTGTCGGTAGGCGAAGTTGACAGACCCCCAAGGGCCTTATCCTTATCCTTGTCCTTCGCCTCCTCCTCCTCCTCCTCCTCCCTTGTGCTCCTCCTTCCCTTCGCCTCCTCCCCCTCCTCCTCCTCCTCCTCCTCCTCCTCATGCTCCTCCTCCTAGGTCCTTGGATCGCGCCCAGAGGACCCCATGGCCACGGAGGCTTGACAAGGGCGAAGCGCAGGCATAGACCGTCAGACGCCGCCACAAACTTCGGAGAATCCCAGGGGAGGAGCACGATGAGGTCGCATCCCCAGATGTGATTATCGACTGGCGGCCTCTGGACCTCGACCCCCTCCAAGGGAGCGCCTGCGCCTTCCGAGCAGTTTTGGCTGACGGCCCCAGGGCCCGAAAAGACAGATCAAAGAGGGCTGACCCCTTCCCTTCACCCGCCCGCGTGGGAGACGGACCGCTGCTGCCGCCGCCGCCGTCGTCTTCGCCGTCGTCGTCGTAGCCATCATCGTCGTCGTCGTCGTCGCCGTGGTCCATCCTTCTCCAGCTGTTGCGTTAGGCAGACTTCGAGCGGAACTCGCAGCGTCGTGCAACATGACTCTTATCAAACAGATATTGTGTGACAGAGTGCCGGATGTTGAGAAGAGAGACGGAGCAAAGTGGAACAACGAGAGGTTCATAAGAGAGATTGGCTAGGATGTCCTGACAGGGCAGGCACAATCAAGGGTACCCCTACCCACCATCAATTCATCCACTCCATCATCAAAACTCCCTTCCACATCAAGGCTATCGTCGAGGGCCAGTGCTGCGCGTGTTAAACTGCAATGTGTTCAAAGCGTAGAGCCTCGGGGCGGCCCTCGTCCAGGGCTCCCACTCCGAGTGCGCTCACTCATCCTTCTGCATTGCCACTCCCGCCTCAACTATATCCCATCCCACCTCCCAGAGCCCTCGACGAGGGTCGCATATTGAACATGCTTCAAGAATTAGGATGCTGGCTCAACATATCGGTTGCGGCTGCCAGAGTACGACGAGACAAGTTTGGTTTTGTGTGGAGCTCGTGCGGCAGGTGACGCACGGCGTCGGGGATACGCCATTCTCTGAAACAAAACATGGTGTTGAAAGGAATCCGATTCGTGGATCCCGTACCCCTTGCTCCGCACGGCGTGCCAGATGTGGCGAGGAGCCTAAGACGGCAGCTACTAACTTGCCGAAGTCCGGATACCTCGCATTGCGGAACACGCACTGCAGCCAATCGCGTTCGATGGCCGCTCGATCTCGTTCCCATCCTCCACCGTCCTCCAACGCTCCTCCGCCTCCTCCTCAAGAAGGGTCCCTCGTGGCCTTCTGCCGATGCACCTGATCCTGCCTATTCAAGAACACACATCCGCTGCGCAGAAATGAACGGACGAGGTCTACTGACCAGCGCGCAGCGGGGACTGGTGCTCACATGCCGCCGATCCACCTCGCAAACCCCCGCATCCAGCTCTCGTGCCTCCTCCTGCGGTCCGCGGAGCCGTGGACGGCGGCGCGCCGCGCCGCACTGTCGCTGCCGTGGCACGCTCCGCCGCGTCGGCCGCCGCCTTCGCGGCGCGGCCGATTCCGCGGGAGCCTGCCGCCGCGGGCGGCGGAGTGCGCCTTGAAGTGCCTGCCGACGCCGCGCCTCGCGCTTCCTCGGAGGCGCTGCGCGAGCGGCGGCGCAGGCGCCGTCTGAGGCGCGCGGGGCGGCGCGCACTGGAGCGAGGGGAAGCTGCGGCGATGGCGGATGCAGTGGTGGCGGATGGCCCGCCGCCCGCTGCGGCCCCCGCTGCCGCTGGCGGCCCCAACTCGGGCAACGACGGCGGCGACGACGTCGAGTTCGACGACGCCTGGGCGGACGAGGCCGCGCCGAGGAGGCGCAGGCCGCGTCGTGCTGGGGCGCGTGCTGCCGCGGGAGGCCCTACAGGAGCAGGCGGCGTGCCGCTTGCGGAGGCAGGAGCTGTACGTGGTGGCGGCGATGCTGCGGCGGCGGCGCCTGCGGTGGCTATGGCCGCGCGGGCGCTGGCGGCGACTGGAGCTGATGGCGCGGGCGTCGCCCCGCCTTCCGCGGAGGTCGCTGCGCCCGCTGCTGGCGCGCAGGGTGGCCACATGTTCTCGCCTCAGGTGAAGGCGGAGCTCGTGGCGGCGACGGCGGCGGGCGACAACGGCCGCATCACCTCCATCATCCTCAGGGCCGCCGGCGGCAGCTCGAGGTGATGCTGGCGGGCGTCTTCGCAGGCTGGGCTGTCGGCCTGGCCCACCCTCGGTGGCGGCGGGTTCATGTGCCTCTTCGGGGTCGAGCTCGCCGTCGCGACCTGGGGGCGGATCGCGCTGGGTCCGCCGTGATGCTCATGGTGGATGGGGGTACTGGCGCTCGCACGGCCGTCTTCATTGTGCTGGAGAGCGGCTTGTTCGCGTGGCTCTTCGGGGTCGCGCTCGACCTTGCCATCCCTGGCCTGGACTGGGTGTACCCTGTCGTGTGCGACGACCTGGGGTATGCCCTCATTCTTGGGGCTGTCGCCCTCCGCCCTACCCCCGCGGGGGGTGTCGGATCCACATTGTCTTCTGCTGGCGCGGGTCTGTATCGGCAGACTCGCGTTCCATCGCTCGGGACCCTCTTCCTCCTCCTCCGCTTCCTCCTCCTCCTCCTCCTCCTCCTCCTCCTCCTCCTCCTCCTCCTCCTCCTCTCCTCCTCCTCCTCCTCCTCCTCCTCCTCCTCCTCCTCCTCCCCCCCCCCCTCCTCCCTCCTCCTCCTCCTCCTCCTCCTCCTCCTCCTCCTCTCTCTCCTCCTCCTCTCCTCTCCTCCTCCTCCTCCTCCTCCTCCTCCTCCTCCTCCTCCTCCTCCTCCTCCTCCTCCTCCTCCCTCCTCCTCCTCCTCTCCTCCTCCCTCCTCCCTCCCTCCCTCCTCCCCCTCCCTCCCTCCTCCCTCCTCCATCCCCACTCCCCCTCCTCCCTCCTCCCTCCTCCCTCCTCCCTCCTCCTCCCTCCAATCCTCCTCATGCGGCAGGTCAGGGCTCCGATTTCCGGGAGGTACGTGGGGGCGTTTGGGGGCTTTGTTCGGGTTCCTTGGGTGCTTCTTGGGGCGTACTGGGGGCTTCTGGAGGCAACTTGGGGGCGCCCTGGGCCGAAGGCTGGAAATGTGAGTTCGGGTTCCCCCCGTGGGCCCCCTTTTTGGCGCAGTCTGGGGGCCCTCTGGGGCCGCCATCGGGGCTCATGCGGCGGTCTTGGGACCCTTATGGGCTGTCTTGGAGCTGTCACAGGGGTCTTTGGGGCCGTCTTGCACGGCATGGAAGCGCAAGAGGCGAATCTGTTTAAAGCGTACGTTTTCTTGAGGGAATGGGGCAACTTTCACTTCTTCGGTGCCTTTTGGGAGGCCTTTTGGATGCCTCTTGGGGCGTTTTGGATGCATCTTGGGCCGTCTGGATGCCATCTTGGGCGTCTTGGGCCGATCATTCGACGATTCGGGGCCCTCTTGGATCGCCTTGGGGCCCTCTTGGGGCCCTCTTGGCCCGTTTGGGGGCCCTCTATGTTCCCTTTGCGCGTTCGTCCGGGGTCTCGAGGGCGGAAACGTCGACGTAATAGGAGCGAGCTCGTGGTGATAACGATATTGGCATCTGCGGAGGTGGCGGGGCTGGCGGTGGTGGTGGTTTTGCGCAATCACGTGCGGCAGCGGGTGGGTATTTCACGATGCTCCCGCTGCGGTCGTCAACGCTGTTGGCGGAGAGTGCTCGCTTCCATCCTGGGCTCAGTAGCACGTTGCCTGGATAGTCCCACGTGGTCTCCTTGGTGCCGAAGTTGAAGTAGTACACCTGGGCGCTCCATACGTCCTGTGTTCCTATGTACGCGTAGGCAATGCATGGACGTGGGAGGAGTAACCGGCGGCTCGGTGACATGGCAACCCGCTCGGGGAGCCCGTTTTCTGAAGGGGTCGTGCCAGCGTGCGCTCGTCCACGGTCATGTAGCCGGATGGATAGAAAGGCGGTGGTGAGCAAGTTGGTGGTGGTGGATCTCCTTGGTTGGGTGCCGTATGGGCCTGGTTATTGCGATGGCCCAGTTGGTCGACTTCGAGTGGGCCGTGCTGACTGGCTGTGGTCTCGGTTGCTCTTGTCTCCCAGGCTGCGTGCTGCATGCGAACGGAATGATGTCGTTGGTCGGCCTGCGCGTCGCGAAGCCCTTTAGTTCGAGCTCCGCCTGGTATCCGTTCTCGATGTTGTCGTAGCAGGATGCCTCCATGCTGTCCAGCTGTTTCTTGGTTTTTGCTCGAATCTCTGGCGTTCTATATGACATGAGGCCGCTCATGTCGGCGACCATAGTCCTTACGATTCCGTGTGACAAGATGGATTTTGGTAGCCTCCATGGTGGTGGGTCAGGGCGAGGTGGTCGTGTGATAATGATGTTTCCAGTGCAGGGGGCAGGTCGGTGGTGACGTGGTGGCCTTCAATGCCCTCCTCGTAGGTGACGTCGGCTGGTAGGTGGAGGTGTGATCCTGGGATCGTCGGCCATTGTGGGTTACCATTGAACGGCGGGCCGAGCTGTAGTTACTGTCTCTCGCGCACCTCGTTGAAGTGGTTGATGGGGGCTCCTCCTCCGTTTCCTCCTCCTCCTCCTCCGTTTCCTCCTCCTCCTCCTCCTCCACCCCCTCCTCCCCCTCCTCCCCCTCCCCCTCCACCCCTCCTCCTCCTCCTCCTCCTCCTCCCTCCTCCTCCCTCCTCCTCCTCCTCCTCCTCCTCCTCCTCCTCCTCCTCCTCCTCCTCCTCCTCCTCCTCCTCCTCCTCCTCCTCCTCCACCCCCCCGCGTGGGCGACGCACCGCCCCCCGGCTCCCCCCCTGCCTCCTCCGTCGCCTTCCTTCCCGCTGCCCTCCCCGCCCCGGGCATCGCTCGTGCCTTTGTTCTCTCCTCGGCGCGGCCAGCGCCGGGAAGCCTGGAGCCTCTCTCGGGGCCTTTGGTCTGGACGCCCGAACTGGGCACGGAAAGAATGGGTAAAATGCCCAACAGCAGCTCCTGTTCATTTTGAACCGGACTCGCTGTTCACGCTGCCGCGGCCTGTGTCCATTCGAGACAGGAGGCCGCCCGCCCAACAGCGGCCGCTGTTGGTTTGGGACAACATTTGCTGCTGGGCATTGTACCCATGTTTTCCGTACCCATTTCGGGCGTCCAAATTTGGGGCCATTTCGATCGGAGGGGGAGAAGCGACACCAACACCACCAGGGGGGCCACCTCCAGCAAGGAGGTCCACGATGCCTCCCCGAGCTGGAGGCTGGGGATGTCTCGAGCGAGAGGGGGGGGCACACCACCAGGAATACCTCCCTTTCTCCTCGCATCTCCTCGCCCTGTTGGTGTTGGTGTCGCCTTTCCTTGTCCCGACTCGGGGAAGTCCGCGCAGTATGTGGCCAAACGGCGCACGGGGAGCGGACGTCCAGGGGATGGCAGGGTGATCGTGTTCTCGGTCCTTGTTCTGCCGATCGGCGCGGGCCCTCGCCAAACCCCCCATGGAGCAGATTTGGGCAGTTTTCGGGAGCGCCTGTTGCGAGCAGGTGGGGTCTCCCCCATGGGACGCACTTTTTTGCAAACAGTTGCATCAAGCAGAGGCCTGGAGTCAGACCCCACCCCCTCCCCCCACCCTTTCCGCCAGTGTCGAAACGTCGAGTCAGCAAACGTCCACAAGCCTTCCTCGGGTGGGAGGGTCACGCTCCACACCCGACACCGAGCATGTGAGCCGGATCTGAGGGGTGTAACGACGTCGGCAATGGTGCAGCATGCGCACGCAGAGGCCGAGGCCGCAGGCGGCGCCCCCCCCCCACACGTGGGGCACGAGGCGCGCGAGGGGTGTGCCGAGCTGGCCGGGTCGGGGGGCGGCATGTGGAAGCACCGCTCAGCGCTGCGGCTAGAGAGCCCCGTTGGGGCACGAGAAGCGGAGGGTGCCTGCCGAAGGCTGGGTGCGGGGCGGCCTGCGGGCGCAGCCGCTGGGGCCGGGCGCGGCTCCCTGTTGCGCCGCGAAGCGCGTGGGGTGTGCGGCGACGGGGGCACGCGAAGCGCAGAGGCGGGAGGAGGAGGAGGAGGAGGAGGAGGAGGAGGAAGAGGAGGCGGAGGGGGAGGAGGAGGAGGACGAGGAGGAGGACGAGGAGGAGGAGGAGGAGGAGAAGGAGGACGAGGAGGGGGAGGAGGAGAAGGAGGAGGAGGAGGAGGAGGAGGCGGAGGGAGAGGAGGAGGAGAAGGAGGACGTGGAGGAGGAGGAGGAGGAGAAGGAGGAGAAGGAGGAGAAGGAGGGGGAGGAGGAGGAGGAGGAGGAGGCGGAGGAGGAAGAGGAGGAGGAGGCGGAGGAGGAGGCGGAGGCAGAGGAGCTCCCCGTGGGAGCACGATGTTCGTGAGGGGTTCGCCGAAATGGGCGGGGAGGGGGGAGCGTGCGAGAGCAACCACTGGGGCCGTAGATCGGTTTCCCCCTTTTCCAGTCCCGGGGCCCATATCGATCCGATCGTTCCGATCCGATCCGTCGCACGCGTTGATCCGATCCGGTTTCCCGAGTCGATGTTGGTTGGCCTTGTGCCCTCGTCCTCACCCTCCTCCGTCATGTTGCATCGTCGTGGGGCTTCATCCGTCCGATGCATCGTCATGTTGCATCGTCATGTTGCATCCGTCATGTTGCATCGTCGTGGTATCTTCTTGTACCCGCCGCGGGCATGATTGCGATGACAATAACGATGTTGTCATCGTCACAGTCCTCGTCATCGACATCGTCGTCGTCATCCTCTTCATTGTCATCGTCATCATCATCAGCATCATCGTCATCGTCATCGTCATCAGCATCATCAGCATCAGCGTCATGGTCATCGTCAACGTCATCCTCGTCATCGTCGCCGTCATCGTCATCATCGTCGTCATCGTCGTCGGCATCACCGTCATCGTCGTGATCGTCGTCGTGATCATCGTCGTCATCGTCGTCGTCCTCGGCATCGGCATCGCCGTCATCGTCGTCCTCGTCGCCGTCGTCATCGTCGCCGGCATCGTCGTCGACACGGATGCCGAGCCGACCGCCCGGCTGCCGGCGACGTGACTGCTTCGGCCCGCGGCCCGCTCTGCGCCTCGGGCCCGTCCTTTGACGGCCCGCTGTGGCCCCCAGCACCGCGGGGGGGCCCCGCGGGGTCGACTGCAGCCTGCAGCCAAGAACCCTAAGAAGGACGCGCGACCTTTGCTCTTCCAGGAGGGCCAATCAATAGCAC